CGCGTGTACTACTGACTTTAGTGTGTATGTTAGTGCCGTAAATAACGGGTGGGCTAACTCCACCCATCAAAAGTGAGCAAGTTCAAGTTCGGAGTTGAAGCCTTATTTGACGACGTTGAACTTGGGAATTTTTTTATCAAGTCCGTTTGAAATCCAGGGAGTTAAAATCTAATACGTTCAACAACGGAATGAATATAATCTTATAACTTACCTAATTTGTTAGTCTTTTTTTGTCAAACATGCATCAATGTAGGGATAAAATTTATTTACCCGTCAGATGTGATTATGACGTAGTATATAGTGCAGAAACTGCAATGAAGAACTTAGACTCGAATTTGGGCTTAGATGTACTTGGATTTGCCCACGTCTACCACGCACTAAAAATATTTGAGCACTTTTCTGAGCCTAAATTTTCTTTTCTACTTTATGAACTCTCACTGAACAAAAACACAGTACTCAAACAGCTTCTAAACCTGTTTACGGCAGTGTCCGTCCATTGCCGAAATCCTAGCTTCATCACTAGTGTATACATTCCATATCAAAAACGTTTTACTTAACTATAAGCGGTTTTTGACTCTAAAATCTTTGAAAATCGCAACTTTTATAGTTTGTTCTTAAACTGTTTGCCTCCGCTTTACCTCAATCTGATTGTGACTCTTACTGACTCGAACGCTCACGCTTGAGTAAATAAACTTAAATTAAATTTAGGTGCGAAAGATAATAAAAAGAAATCAATTTAGATTAAGCTTAAATTGAATTACTTGTGTATTGAAATCAATCGAACATCCAGTGGTCGGTAACTGATGTAAATAAGTTAAAGATCCTCGAGTCTAGAAACGATACTCAAAACACATCATTCAAGCCGGAATAAAATTAAACGATTACTTACAACTGAATTTAATACTCCAGCTGTAGCCGCAAGGACAAAAACATAAAACATACTGCAAAATGCCCAAAAATTGACCATCAAAGTGAATAACGTTCCTAAATCTAGTCGATATATCCACATCATCGCTATTATATACAACATGAGAAATGCCATAACAACATTGATACTTAGAGCGAGACTACTGTAGATTTGAAACGTTGAATCTAACGTATGAACAAATTTTATTAGCCTACTCAGAACCCGTTGTTGTGCATTTGACTGTTGAACTTCTTGTTTAATATATTCATTGAACTTTTCAAATTCACTGCATCCAATTAGACATAGAATGGAAAATAAAGTTGGCGGTAAAATCCAGGCTGCTGATGCATAAAAGTGTAATAAACAAATAAATAATTTATAAGATATATTGCATGTGATCGTCGCTTTTTGATGAAAGGGTGTTAAGAACATTTCAAATACTTTCATATATTCAGATGGACCAAAGTAGGCAATTAATAATGCTAATGTATTAGAAAGGATAGTAATTAAACAAAATGTAACCGCTGAATATATTCCAAATTTAAAGCGTTTTGATATGCCCGGTTGACATTTAATAAGTTTACAAAAATTATAATTAAACATAATTGTATAAAATTTATTTCTCTGATATGAACTAATAATGAATGTCGTTTGTGAACAAGAACAAAGCAGTAACCATAATTGTGCAACAATCGTTATCATTAACAACGGTAAATATTGTTCAGCTTTATATTTGAAATTAGTTAAGAGAAATACGGATATAAATCTTAATGTGTTGAACCATGATAAAAAGCAAATAAATAGACAATAGACCAGATGTAATCGATTCTGTTTTTGTTTATCTGGTTTTGACGAATGTTCATAGTATAAACCGGTTAATTTCATCATAGCTAATAATGGTTTCAATAGAAAACCAATTGTTAAATCAATACTTTTAGACTCACGGACATCCAGCGTTTCTAACATAATACACGTTGAATTTAAGCTTTTACCTAATGATGCAACATCATATTTTGAATATGGTTGTACATTCGGCCGTCTCATGTTTGTTCGATAAACTTAGACGTAATATACAAGTTAGACAACATGTCAAATACTTGGAAATGCTAACGTTTGTTTCTTTTTCGTTAAACGTTGATTAATAATACAAATTAGACGTTCCCTTTCTTCTTCGTCTTCTCCTTACGTATCAACTTACATTCTGCTATAAGGAAAAATGTATTTTTTACTTGTTTTTTTAAAGAAATATCAAGATAGCTTTTGACTCCTTTCGAACAGAACGAATAAAAAGAATTAGTGTCTAGTGCTGCTATTAACGTTATCTAGAAGATAAATTATGTTATTTTCGTCAAACATGTCCTATGTTGTTATAAAAACACAACCACTTATTTTATCTAACTATCGATGAGTTCTTCTATGGTATAAATTAATGCGAAGTATTATTGTTTCGTCGACAACTCACTCTCACACCGTCCCTCCCGCCTCTGATGTTCTCTGATCTATATTCTTTGAGGTGGCCAGTTTGTCGACGAAGCGAGAATACCTCAAACTATGTATGTATAGAAACTAAAATCTGAAATTTTCTTTCTTTTGAAATGAAACAAAAATGAGTGATCAACAAGCACAGTTTCAACCAAAGCTTTTAACACGATATTGTTTGCGTGGATTAGATTTTGTAACGTACTAAGTTCTTGTTTCTCCTAGGGTGAGGATGAGATGACATTGCTTAGTTGCACAGTTACCATTGCAATTACGACTGAAAAAAACAATATGGACCGATCGTATAACAGAAAGAACATTTGTGTGTATATTCTTTTCTGTACTATACTTGATGTTACGAAATTGTCTTAATCAGCATCTATTGTTAAACGGAGAATATAAAAAAAGGATATTAAATATAAATATTTTATTTATGACAGGAGAGAAACTTTCAGAAAAAGCTTAACCTTTGTTATTTTTATACAAAACTAGTTAGGCATTTTTCAAAGTCATCCGTAATTTGTTAGCATTACGAGTTGTACTCTAGGTTCAGTCTTTTTTTAGAAAAGGGACTGTTCAGTTTTGAAATTTAACGACTGCTAATATCGCTGCTCAGCATAATGCCTTCGATGCAATAAATGTAAGTAACGGTCCAGTTCTCGGTATCGAACTCATTAATAAGATTCTAACATAATAAAATGATATGGACAAACCAATATTGATTCTGTCCAAGAACGATCAAAAGATAAAGAACTGCTGAATGGTACTAATCTTCTGTCAATTTTCCATAATAAACGTTTAATAGGTGTTTCAACTATTTTTTCACTGTCGACACTACTTTTATTGAACTACTACTTCGTTCAGATAGTGTTGTAGTAAAATGTAAATCAATTTGATAGGAACACTTGATTGAGTAAACTGATATGATTCGGAGCTGGGGGAACGATGTAAGAAGTTTCACTAGCGGTAGTCATAGAATTGACTATCTAATTATTTGACGTATATAAAATAGATATTCAGGTGGCTATTTTCACCGATAGCGATGATATTCATTATATATTTACTTACTCAGATTACAAGAAAGTGATATGCGTGACTGAGCAAATAACTAATCACTTTTCATTCAAATGACACGTTTTACCTAGATGTTAAGAAAAAGTGTCGCTCTTTTCATTTGAAACTTATACCTTATTTTAATGAATTTTGTAAAAATCGACTTTACTGAGCACGCCTCCAAGACCGCCAAGTCCTTTTGCTCAATTTTCACGCGTTTTGCTTCAAAGTCACTTCTGATAACGCAGAATGGGTTAGAAATGATGGAGAATCTGATGATGATAGTGTAGAGATCTATCGTCAGGAGATCCAGATGGTCTCTGGTGGTTTTGAGAAGTTTTGCCGATTCTAATTCCCTTCAAAAACCACTAGAGACCATCTGTACCGTCTGCTGTTTTACTGCCTCAAGCAAATATTGAATCTATCGAATATCCAGTTGAATCACAAGCAGCCGTTCAATTTTTTGCTATTCGAGAATTTGAAGAAAAATTTCAAAATTATTTAAAAGAGATCTTTAATACTGAAAACAAAATTGAGAAACAATTTGTATCAGATAAATGTAAAATAATAATTAAAATAAGAGATGGTGCCGATGATGTCGCTTCAGCGAGATTCGTGATGAATGATTTATCCTCAGCGTTAAAGTTCAGAAGATTTGATGAACCAACTATCAGAAAAATACCTGTCTGATTCCACATCATTTATCATTTTGGTTATCGATCATCAGCTGCAGTAAATGAGCTTTATGTTCAATTTGAAAAGTTAAGGATTGATTATGAAATCAAACCACTACAATTATCATTTACTCTCTCTTAGGTCTGTTAGTTTTTTTTTGGGCTGGTTACTTGCTTTATATTTCAGATTGGATTAGAGACGAGACGGCATGCGAAAATTTCACATTCTTTCTTATAATGCGAAAGCCGTAGCATATATTTCTTTCCTTTCTGTCGATGAAGTGTGACATGTTATAAAGTGGAAGAAAACGAAAAAGACTTTCGTTTTCTTTCCCCATTTTAGCACATTCAAATACGAAATGTCATTTTTGTATATTATCCAATGTGACTTTTTTTTCACGATTTTTGTATGTAGCTGTAATGTAGCTGATGTTGCTAATTCAGTGAGTGACGTAACAGATTTTTGTAGTTGTGTTTGTTGCCATTGCTGATCTGGTTTATCAATAGTAAATGATAAACGTTTTCGACTATAATCCTGTTCTTCTGTATCGAATATTGAAGGACTACTCTTATTTGCTGTTGTTTGTATTAACGGTATTTCAATAATTAATTGACTCTGCTAAATGATATAGGATGCCATTGAATCAATATCATCATTTAAAGGTAATTCAAATGTTTTTTCAAACTGTTTCTGACTATATGAACCACCGTGATGTTCTTGTTGAATAGCTGAGATTGTTAATGCGCGAAATTAAAGATGTATGAAAAACCTTAACTGTCAGAACTAGACAGATTGAGGGTGATTTCAATAAGAGTAGAGCAAAACATAACAGCTACGTTTAGAAAAAGAGACTAACCCGAATATTTTCTTGTTTGAAACCTTGTACATCAAACGAAATTCTGAATCTTTCCAAATTCGATGTGTTCGATGAATATTTGTCATTGATTAATTGTAAATTGAGGCGACTTAACCATCGTAATTGATTTACTTAATCCGATGTTGATACTTGTTGAGAAAATGCATCAAACCAGAAACTTTCTGATGTTGTGGATGTTCGTTGTGTTATCGAATGTGATGGCGCAGAATTCGATGATTATGGATTAGAATTATTTAAATTATTGTTCAAACGATAAATCGATGATGGAGCTGATAAGGCCATGTTTGATGTTGTTACTATATGTTGTTACTATGAAACGATAATAGGATGGAAAACATTTGCTTTTATAACCTCAATAAGAGCAAAAAAGAGAAATAAGGAAAATGTTATTAAGTACTAATAAGTAGAACAGATATATTATATATCGTCACAGAGATTGAAAAGTGTCTGACAATACAAAAATGAACACATTTCTTCTACTTTGTTTTGTTGCAACTTGTCACAAATGCGTCAGTCAATACTAATACGCTTAAAACCCATTATGTAGAATTGCACAATGTGATGCAAAGAACTGTGAAATGGAACTTTGATTGGCAATCAAACAATTAGAAATAGATGTAGCATTGTATAATGTACAAGTAGAATGCATACGTCAAGGTTACGCTACTTTTACATACTTAATATATTCTGATTGATAAGCAACAGGTACCTTAAATTTCTGTTAGGATAGGGGTGTAATCTACTTGAATTTAGATTCTACGCATCCATGTGGTCCAAGAACATCCAATCGCACAAAAAATTATTTCCGACCGAGATTTTTGCGGAGAAGTTCGAAAAAAATGAAAGTTGCCCATTACTCTTGAAGCACATATCATGCAATTCAGCTTTTGATGCTGATTCCAAATATGACATTGACTTTATTTATATATTTTATTATTATATATTTATTTGACCGTATTTCAATTTTGTCGAACACGTAACATTCACTCAGCATAGCATCCTTCTTTGGCAGGTTTCTAATCGCCAAATGCTTTTCTTTCAGTAGATCAAAATCTAGAGAGGGAAAAAGAGCTACGAATATGTGTTAAATAAAAGTTTGTATAACTGACTAATATCTTTTTCACAATGAATTAGTAAAACTTGCCGATCCATTTCAGAGTTGACCGAGTTGATCGTCATATCTGTGACTGTTTTCGTTTTATTTCCAGTTATGGTTATCAATGTATCAATATACAGATCAAGTTTAAGAGATGGAATTTTCTCATTAGTTTGAATTTTCATTATTGGTGAAAAACTAAAAATTTTTGGTCATCATACTTGAATAGTATCAAAACACTATTTTTCAATTGCAGTTTTTACGGAGAACAAAAATAAAAGACTTGCAAGATTCCCTAGTAGACTGTGTTCTGGTTTTACGTTCATAATAATAACATAATAAAATAAGCCATTTTTTAGAATTTTAAAATTTTCAGTGTTTTAAGCTGTCGACATTCAAATTTTGATTCGAAAGATCAAAACACATATTCTTGTTCAACTCGATGAGCTCTATTCACCCATGTATAAATATCGCAAAAATAAAGTTTGCTTTAGTTTTGAGCTGCTGACACCTTACCATTATTTAAATGTTTATAGTTCATATTTGTTTTCTTTCTCAAATTCATCTGTGTTTATGTAGAAATTCAAGTAAAACACCGTAGATGAAAAGCTGAAATATGATAAAAATTTAGTGGCCTGGGTCAGTGTATATATATATTTTCATGAAAAAATGTTTGAGCATTTTCCATGCAATCAAGAAATGTCGTTTTTTAATTGAGAAATTAAATCTTTGGGAATAACCATATATAAACTTTGAAATGAAGTTTTAAGAAATTTGAAATTTTTGATGTATGCAGCCCAAAATCCAGTTAATATAACAAAAGTTTAATATCTACATGCGTTACATACAAGAAGTATGTCTAATTGTTTATAGATGTATGTTGACGCTAATACAGGAGAAAAGGTCTAAAATGCTACGCTTTTATTACTTTCTTATCAAACATTTTTAAAATTTTGAGTAAAATTAATATATTTTTAAGTCGCGTGTACCAACCATTATTAGCAAACACGTCAACAAAAATGATGTGAAGAATTTCCTACAACAAAGGTTTTTAATTGACCCTGCTTCGAGAATAATCGTATCTCCATCAAAATCGATCGGACAGTCGTAAAAATTATGCGCATGTGCAGTTTGATATGTGTTTACCACCTGATATTGTCAGTCACACTTCCTACAAAAGTCCAAATCTTAAAATTTCTAAAAAGAACTTTGATCGTTGTGATTACGGTCTCAAATAACAGGCCGCATAAACGTCCTACTTTTCTATAAAACCGTCCTACTATGTCCTCCTTTCTGGATTTTCTCCTACCAGAGCTGATCACCTGCATGGTAAACTGCCTGTAAGCTGCAGGCAGTGCAGGCAGGTTGCAGTTTGCAGGTGAATAAAAAAATTTCCACTAACGGCCGGCAGATAAAAAAGAATGTTTTCCTGCCTGCACTCCCTGCAGGGGAGAAGATTTTACCTGCATTCCCTGCAGGGAAAGACGTTTTTGTGTAGAGAATGAAAATAGAGAGGAGACGAAGATAAATACTGATCACACTGAAGGTCAGAATGATCTCATAACGAAAAGAAACTAACTAACAGTTTTTTTTATATATCTACTAGACACTTTAAGATGAGAAGAGGAGCGTTTTATCCGTAATCGCTTATATCATTTGATATGTCATTTTCCTCTAATATAATGGCCTAGATCGCATCTGTGTAGAATTCTTATTTCTCTTTCTTGAAATGAATAAAGTTTGAACTAAACTAAACGAAAAATATAGAATAAAGAAAAAGAATGAATTTCGTTCTTATTAGAGTTTTCTCTTTTAGCGTATCTTTATCTTTTTCTTGATGTCGCATGCATATCTCTGTATGTCAGACATGAGGATACATACAAAAAGAAAGGCTGATCTGCATGCGACATCAAGAAAACGATAAAGATACGCTAAAAGAGAAAACTCTATTGTATGTAATGTTTCTTTTAGTATGCGCACTAGGTATAGTATATAGAAGATGACAAACGACTGTAACGATAACAGAAAGAAAAAAATATAGAACAAGGATAGTGAATCGTAACTGGTGATACAGTCTGTAATTATCAGCGTGTAATACAGAATGATAGTGGTCACTAGGAAAAAAAGTTGTTATACCTCGCCTTAGGGTCCACCTGCAGTCAAGAATGCATTCTATAGGATATGTTTTTACTGAAAAAATATCCCGCAGAACTCAAATTTCTCAACTCTATCATTTCAGATTTGTTTGTCACAATATAAAGGAAACAGACTTTTGATATAGGAATTAGTTGAAAATTTTTAATAGAAGCTCTCAGTGCAGCTGAAATTTTTGACTAATCATAAGCGAATAGCATAGAATGTCGGCTACAAAACGAAAAAATTGATCTGACATCAGTGACTACATTCTGAATTTCGACAATAGTGTCAAGTTTCCTAATTTCCTAGAAAGCTGTTGAAATGTTTTGGTGTTTTCTGAAATACCAGTTTTCCAGAAACCGGTCTCTGGAGGCCTATTGGCCCGTCTCATGTTGATATTCGGAATTAGCATGGTTGGCTACCTATAGTGAAATTTCAGCGAAATGCCATGCTGCATGACAGAGAAAACGCACAAATAAAATTTCATGATTTTGGACAGCAGACTCTCCCACGAAAGGCTCATTTTTTCCGAAAGAAAGAAAGCGACAGTCGGGAAATTTGTTATTTCGTGATCCCTGATGATACTGGTATGTAGTCCGACTAAAGAAAAAAATTTCCAAGCAAGTTTATTTTGTTGACTTTTTTTAGTCAAACCGTATTCACTCCAATTGTCTACCCGATACACTAATCTGCTTTACTTTATACACAGGTCGAGGACTCACGACCGTATACTACAATATACGTCAAATTACGACGAAATACGTTAGTCGTAAACGTTGACAGATACGGCAATATGTAAACGATGAACTACGAGGCAGTTACGTCAGTCGTATACGATTGTTTACCACAAGTCAACTTTTTAAAAAAATTCAGAACAGAACAAAGTGTACAACCGTCGTAAACTAT